CTTTGAAAAGATCAATAAAATTGACAAACCTTTAGTCAGACTGAAAAGAAAAAATGAGAGAATGCTAAAATTACTAAAATTAGAAATAAAAGTGGAGGATTACTACTTATCTTATATAAATAAAAATGATTATAAGAGAATAATATGAACAATTGTATGTCAGCAAATTAGATAACCTAGATGAAATGGACAAATTCATAGAAACATCCAAATTACTTTGAGAAGAAATAGAAAATTTCTCAACAGAACTGTAACAAACAGGGAGGTTGAATCAGTAATCAAAAACCTTCCAACAAAGAAATGTCCAGAACTATCTGGCTTTCTGGTGAATTCTTCCAAATATTTAAAGAAGAATTAGCACCAATTCTTCTCAAACTCCAACAAAACATAGAAGAGGAGGGAACACTTCCTAGCTCACTCTATGAGGCCAGCATTATCCTGATATGGAAGCCAGATACAGACATCACAAGAAAAGAAAGTCACACACCATTATCCATTATGAATACAAATGCAAAAATCCTCAACAAAATACTAGCAAACCTAATCCAGAAGCATACTAAAAGAATTATACACCACGACCCGGTGGAATTTACCCCAGGAATGCAAGGGTGGTTCAAAAGGACAAAAATCAATCAATCAATGTATTACAACGTATTACTAGAATGAAGGGGAAAAAACACTTGATGATCTCAATTGATGCAGAAATAGCATCTGACAAAATTCAACACCATTTCATGATAAAAACACTCAGAAAACTAGGAATAAAAGAAACCTTCCTCAACATGATAAAGGCACTTGTGAAAAACCCACAGCTAACATCCTACTCAATGGTGAAACATGGAAAGCTTTTGCCCTAAGAATAGCATAAGACAAGGTTGCCCGCTTTTTTTTTTTGGTGAGGAGGACCAGCCCTGAGCTAACATCCAATGCCAATCCTCCTCTTTTTTTGCTAAGGAAGATTGGCCCTGGGCTAACATCCATGCCCATCTTCCTCTACTTTATATGGGACACCTGCCACAGCATGGCTTAACAAGCAGTGCATCGGTGCACACCCGGGATCCGAACTGGTGAACCCCGGGCTGCCACAGCGGAGCGCATGCACCCAACCGGTAGCATCACCGGGCCGGCCCCAGGGTTGCCTGCTTTTGCTGCTGCTATTCAACACTGAACTGGAGGGTCTAGCCAGAGCAATCAGACAAGGAAAAGAAATAAAAGGTATCTAAATTGGAAAGGGAGAAATGTCTATCTCTATTTGCAGATGACATATTCCTATATAAAGAAAATACCAAAGAATCCACAGAAAGCAATTTCAGCTAATAAACAAATTCAGCAAAGTTACAAGTTACAAGATCAAAACACAAAAATTAGTTGGGTCTCTATATATACTAGGAATGAACAATCCAAAAATGAAATTAGGGAAGCAATTGCATTTACAATAACATCTAAGAGAATAAAATACTGAGGACTACATTTCACCAAGGGGGCGAAAGATTTGTATTTTGAGAACTAGGAAACAGTGTGGAAAGAAATTAAAGACTTTAAATGGAAAGACGGCTTGTGTTCATGGAATGGAAGACTCAATATTTTGAAGATTTCAATACTACCTAAAGTGACCTACAGAGTCAACACAATCTTTATCAAAATTCCAGCTGGCTTTTTTGCAGAAGTGGAAAAACCAATCCTCAAATTTATATGGAAATGCAATGGATCCCAAATAGCCAAAACAATCTTGAAAAAGAAGAAAGAAGTTGGGAGACTCACACTTCTTGATTCCAAAACTTATTACAAAGCTATAGTCATCAAAACAGTGTGGAACTAGGACAAGCACACACATAGATCAATGGAATGGAATTGAGTGTCCAGAAATAAATGCATACATCTATGGCCAATTCATTTTTCATAAGGGTGCCAAGACCATTAAATGGGGAAAGAACAGTCTCTTCTACAAATGTACTAGGACAACCAGATTTCCACATGCAAAAGATTGAAGTTGTACCTCCTACCTCACACTATATGCAAAAATCAACTCAAAATAGATCAAAGACCTAAAAGTAAGAGATAAAAGTATAAAACTCTTAGAAGAAAACATACGTGTGTTTCTCTGTGATTGTGGATTAGGTAATGGTTTCTTAGACATGTCATCAAAAGCACAGAAAAAAAAGAAAAAAAAGATAAAATGGACTCCCTAAAATTAAAAACTTTTGTACTTTTAAGGACACCACTAAGAAAGTGAAAAGACAACTCACAGAATGGGAAAAATTTCTGCAAATGATGTATCTGATGAGGAAATTGTATCTAGAGTATACAAAGAACTCCTAGAACTCAATTATAAAAAGGCAAATAATTCAAATAAAAATGAGCAAAGGAGCTGAACAGACATTTTTCCAAAGAAGATATACAAATGGCCAATAAGCACATGAAAAAATGCTCAACATTATTAACCATCAGGGAAATGCAATTGAAACCACAATAGAGATACCACTTCACACCTACTATGATGTCTACAATAAAAGAGACAGAAAGCAACAAGAGTTGATGAGGACACAGAGAAAGTGGAACCTCATACACTGCTGGAGGGTGGGGGGAAATGTAAAATGGTGTAGTCGCTTTGGAAAATAGTACGGAAGTTCTTCAAAAGGTTAAATAACTCCTAGGTATATGCCCAAGAGAAATTAAAGGGAATGTCCACACAAAAACATGTACATGAACGTTCATAGCAGTATTATTCGTAATAGCCAAAGGGTGGAAGCAACCCAAATGTCCATCAACTGATGAGTGGATCAACAGAAGTGATTATATCCATTCAGTGGAATGTTGTTTGGCAATGAAAACCAACTAAGTACGGAAATATGCTACAGCATGGATGGACCTTCCAAATATGCTGTGAAACAGAAGCCAGTCACAAAGGACCACATATTATATGATTCCATTTATATGAAGCATCTAGAACGGGCAAATTCATGGAGACAGAAAGTAGATTGTCGACTGCCAGGGGCTGGGGGAGGGGTAATGGGGAGTGACTGCTAATGGGATGATAAAAATGTTCTAAAATTGATTGTAGTGACGGTTATACCTGTAAATATGCTAAACACCACTGAATTGTACATTTTAATAGGTAAATTGTATAGTATGTGAATTATATCCTCATAAAGCTCTTATAAATGAATAAATATATGTGATGAGAGAAGACATAAACAAAAACACAAAATTGAATATGTACAAACTTTAATACTACTCAGCCATAAGAAACGATGAAATCCAGCCATTTGTGACAACATGGATGGACATTTCGGGTATTATGCAAAGCGAAATAAGTCAGAGGGAGAAGGTCAAATACCGTATGATGTCCTTCATTAAGTAGTAGATAACAACGGCAATAAACAATCACATAGAGACAGAGATTGGATTGCTGGTTACCAGAGGGGAAGGGGGGAGGGACGAGGGCGAAAGGGATAATTCGGCACATGTGTGTGGTGATGGGTTGTAATTAGTATTTGGGTGGTGAACATGATATAATCTATGCAGAAATAGAAGTACAATGATGTACACCTGAAATTTATACAATGTTATAGACCACTGTTACTGCAATAAACAAAAAATTAAAAAAAAATATTTCCTGTGTTTTAGCAAGATTTCTGAAAGCAGCAGGCTTGTTTGCTTCTAAACTTCCTCTCTCCGTCTCTTGGCACGACATACATGGTTGGAGCCGTCTGCAGTTTTGCTCTGATTGTCACATGGCTCAGAGGCAAATTTGGGTTACACTTAAAGGTCCTTACGTCACTGACACGCGTCTTCCTTTGTCCCTTCATTCTGATCTAAAGTCCCTGCATCAGGATTTTGCATTCAGATTTCTATTTCATCAGCGTATTTTACACGTTTCTGTTATTCACTGCTTCATATTCTTATAAAACGAGATGAAGTATAAATTAGTAAATAAATAAACTTGCACCAATTGGATCCGATGACATTAGTTCAAGTCACACAGTTAATGGTTGGTAGCTGTTTAATCACCCCCTGGGTCACCGTTGAGGAAAGTGCACAGCAGTCTGGCTGAGCGGGACGGAGGTCTGGAACCCGGTGCCTTGGTGAACATTTCTCACCAATGTTATCCAAGATCTGGCTCTCTAATATCTTGTATTTCTTTATCTATTTGAGGTTTTGCCTTTATTTCCCAATAGTTCAAAGGTCTTCAAACCCAGGCTATACAGCAGAATCACCTGGGAAGCATTTCAAGGGCAAATTCCTGGGCCTTAACGCAGACACAGTGGGACTTTATCTCTGGGGACGTGGCCCATCCACCTGTGAATACCACGAGCTGCCCTCGGTTTCATGTTCCGAATTGCCGTCTTGTGTTGATTTTTGTATGTGGCATCGTGTCTCCCAACTACCTCTTTAATCTCTGAGTCACTCTCTCTACTTGGTAGAGTTCCTTGACCCACCATCGTGAGTCCCAGTTAACGTCCGGTAACCAAATGAATACATGAACGAGTCAAACTTCATAAGATGGACGTGTGCACCAGGGGTTTACCTGGGGCAGGATCTGCTTGACGGTCTCGCCACGTTCTTAGGCAACATCTATGTCCTCCACCGAGTCCTAAGGCCGGAATTGCTCAGAATAATAAACAGCTAATATTTTCCAGCGCATTCAGCCCTTTTGAAGCACAGGCTCTGTATGAGACCCCTGCCAGTTTCCAAACTGTGACGCCCTGAGTTGAGTTCAGCTGAAACGATTCTGCTGCTAAGCATTCATCTCTTCCCTGCACTTTTTTCTTTAAATGCTTTTAAAAAACATTCTACTGTTAGAAAATCATGGCCCCCAATGGACGAAACCGGCCCAGTTTGTGTGGTTTCAAACCATTTTCAAAGGAACAGCTGTCATCCTCCAGTGGTTCCAGGGTTGCTGCATCTCGCTTTTCTGAGAGCTGCAGAGGGCGGCCCGGGGGGAGGCGTGGCGGCAGGCACCTGCCCCCCCACCCCGACTCTCCTCCCTGCGGCTGTACGCACTAACGTGTCAGCTCCCTTGGTGCCCCCCACGCTGTCCGTGACGGCAACCGAAGCAGTCAGGCTGCTCTTCTGACTGGAGGGCGCCTGGAGGAGCTCCATGTGGGTCCCACCACCAGGGGCCATTGTTTTCTCTCTCGTAGGTCACAGGGCCACAGATGCAGGGAGGCTGCAGAGAGAGCTCCCTGCCAGTGTGCCCCAACAGCTGTGAAAGTGTCTTTCTTCCTCTCTCTACTCTCTCCTCCTCTCTCCCATGAACTGCACAGTTCAGCCGTTTAGAGAGAACGTAGAAGCCCCTGCTATGAAGCAGACACAGCGACCTGACCGGGCAGTGAGAGAACTGCAGCAAATGAGACCAAACTGCTGCTCCCTGGCCGTCCTTCCCGCGAGACCCACAGTAAATGAATGAATAGGCAAGCAGGCTGGTCAGATGGTGAGGAACGCTACGGGTGGGAATCACCCAGGGTGAGGGGCTAACAAACGCGAGAGTTCCCGCTCCAAGGCTTGTCGGGGAAGGTCTCCTGTGGGCAGAGGCCTGGTGAAGAGACCCTGAGGAGGGGCTCGCTGTCTCCAGGCTCCAAGAGCAGGAGCGAGAGGGCCACTTGGGGAGGAGAAGGGAGCAGGTGGAAACTACGTCATGCATTGTTTCAGCTCTCTTAGGTCCCTTCCGACACACATGCTGTTTGATACCCACACAAACAAACAATACATGTCAGATCACATCCTAGGGTATGTTGAAAGAAACGATGAGTGACTCGTCCATACTGGAGGGAACGTGCCAGAGTTGGGAAACCTGGGATCACTGTCCTACCGGGCCACAGAGACGTCCTGAACTTGGTTCTTTTGAAAGTTCTGGGTGGTTGTCACTCACGTTCTCAAGGGGAATATACCATGGGCCTCCATCTCAGATGACAGAGTTCTGACAATAAAATCCAATTCCCAGAAAAGGAGCCGCAGCATCTGGAACAATCTCGGCAGAAGATGAGCCGTGACCCACCTTTCACCGTCCGGGAGGAGGAATATCACGTCACCGTTCTATCTTACAGCGCACCTGCACGATGCCAGGGTCGCCAAGGAGAAGATCTCATCTTTTTACAAAACGTTTCATCTTATCATCTAGCTGGTGCGTTGACCCTTAGAGAAATCAGCCAAGGGATCTAAAAGGAGTTTAATATGCTTTTCATTTCCTCCCTGTTCAATTCTGGTCGGTTTTCAGGTAATTCTGTATTTGTGGAGAGAGGAAATTTGGTGGTGAAAATGAGGGCACAGCCTTTCTGAGGCAAATGGAACGGGGAAGAAGAGACCGGAGGTCAGAATACCACCAATATAAGAGAGTCATGAATGCTCTGTAGGGATTTTAGTTAAGAATTATATTTTGGGTGGATTTAGATGGGGATAAAAAGAAGAGAGAATTGAGCATGAAAATGGCAGAGAAAAGGAAGAAAGGGGCAAGGAAGAGAGAAGAGGAGAGGGAGAGAGGCGACGGGTGCACGTGAGGCCATTGGAAGCAATGAAGTGCGTCTGCAGGCAATAATGATGGTACCTCTTTGCGAGGAGCCTTTATGGACCGCATTTGCCCACTCCTGGAGTTCCAGTTCTCAGCCTTGACCCTGAGGCACTCCACGGTAAGCTACAGCTGCCTGGATTCATGATTCCAAGTCCCAACCCAAGCAAACAGGGCTCTCTTCCCTCGAACGTCCCCGTTCCCACTGAGCGCTTTCCATGTATTAGTGTCCTCATTTGCTGAAACCCCGCCGAGTCTGGAAGACCCCCGCAAGTGCTTTCTCCTCCCACGAGTGTTGTCCTAAACTCTCCCACCTAAATTCAATCTCCCCCTTCTCTGAACATTAATAGAATGTTTTAGCTGTACCTTTCCTCTGACGTTTATCATATTCATTCATTCATTCATACATGCATTCATTCATCCTTGCACCCAAAAAGCCGTATGCTCAGCATCTACACTGCACCATGCTCATGTCAGGTGTTGGGGATAGAAAGGTGAACGAGACAGGCCCCGTTCTAAAGAAGCAAGGTCTGAAACACATAGTCGAGTAGGAGAACTGAGCACGTAAGGCATCGCGCAGTGGTGCGCCTTCTGTGGACAGAGAGGTCTGTGCGGTGCAGGTGTGAGTCAGGGTGAGAGGGACGGGGCAGGCAAGGAGGAATGGGGAGGCGATCCGATTTATTACCCACGACTTACAGACGACAAAACCATTGCTCTACGCCGGTGACTTTCCCAAGTTAAAACAGCTCATAAGAGCCCAAGTTTCGGCTGGAACCCCAGTCCCCTGACTTCAATCTATTTCATTCAGTCCATCAGCAATTTTATTGAGTACTTACTGAACCCCCCCCACCCGCTCTAGGTGTTGGGGATCCTGCAGAGCTTTTTCCTGCTCCACTGAATTGACTCTCACTAAAGGTTGAATTCCTTAAATGAATGAACCGGGGTGAAGCTACCCAGGTGTCACGAATTCGACGCATTCTAGCAGGGACAGCAGCCTTCTCAGTGTACACACGTGGAGGATGGCACGTGTCCAGAACGCAGGGGAGCAAGGACCACAGCCGCTCTTGTCCCCAGCCCGCCTCGGTTCTCTTCACGCTTCTCCACCTCAGGGACGAACCCCTCACCTCCCAGCCAACCTCCATCTATTCAACAATCGTCTAAACTTGGAGCCCCCTGCAGACAGGGACTGGGTCAGCCATTTGCTACCTCCAGACTGTGCAAGCGTCTGGCACTCATCGGTGCTCAAACACAGTCAACTGGGTGGAACGGCACAAGATCCTCAGAACTCAGCTCCTCCCGCAACACTGTGACTGTCTTCTCGAGGTGATAAAACAACCGTGTCTCGTAAAATCACGCTAAGGAATGGTGTATGAAGCACGCCTTAAAAATAACCCCAAGTTCACTCTTTTTAGTAAAGCCAAACCCATCACATATTCGTCTAGCTATGCACATTTGGACAAGAGTTCAAGACAACGTGGGTGCCCGGCAGACACACCCACCTGATCCCTAGGGACCTTCGCACATGTCATCTAACCTGCACCATCAACCCTGCTACTCTGGCCATCCAGGGGATGGGGGATTGAGGGACGGGTCCTGACCCATCATGGGGCGAGGCCAAGCAAGTGCATTCCACGTGCACTGGTGATGGAGAGAATAAATCACATCCTCTTTCCCAGGGGATTTGAAACCCAGCCATTCAGAGACAGAGTTTATTAGTGCAGTAGCAGCAAAGCAGGGACATCTCAGCTGCCAAAGGGGTGCCCAGGACAGATGACATGATGACCAAAGCTGCAGTCACCCCACCTGCAGGTCATTACGAGGAGACCGCTCTCCCTGGAAGGGTGCTCTGGTCCTCCGTGAGCAGCAGCTGGGGAAATGCTGACAGGCTCCCGCCTCCCTAAACTCCTCCTGGACCTCTCCAGCAAACCGTCCTCCTGAAGGTGACTCAGGCCTCAGCTGCTTGCAACCAGAGGAGCTTAATAAACGAACACTTGGGGAACAAAAACTGCATGCTTAGGGAAACGGAGTCAAACGGACGGCGTGGAAATGGAATTGACCAGAAGGAAAATTTCATCCACTCAACCATAACCTCAACTGATACTTAGGATTTATTATCTCTTAGAATGCGTTCCAAGGTGGACTATCCCTACCGCCAATTTCACACACAAAACAAAAAAGACCCTAGTGATTTAACATGGTTCTTTGATTGGCAGTTTCAATAGCACGATCAATAATTTGTAAGATATACAAGTAGCTTTTTTCTTTCTTACTCCGATTCTGCATATATCAAAGTGCTAATTTAAAAGAAAAATTGCACATAAATGTCTTTTGATAGTGTAAGGCTAACACGAGGAGTTTTGTGATTCTAAACTCCGGTCTACAACTCTTCAGCTCCTTTTCAGAATTTCATTCTATTTTCGATTAGGCATTTATGGTGAGCACATTTGCAACTTAATTGCACTTAACTACCAAATGACTTCTTATTTATGGGCTAAATAAATAGCTTTTAAACAGATCTTTAGTCTATCACTCAAAAACAATGGTTTCCAAAGCACGAAAGAAAATTGCTATCAGTTGTAACCCTCATCTCATTACTCATAAGGCCAAAAAGTCATTTCTAATACTTTCTGTATTACAAAATTTGCCTTGTGAAATACAAGTTTAGCTTTACAGGGGGCAATTATAATTGTTTTCAAAACCTCTTTCTCCTGAATTTCCTTTGATACCAGGATAAATCAGAGAAGCTCCTTAATTTAAATCAATGAACCTTTCTCTCTTACCTTTTACATGGTTTTTGATGATTATTTTATATTTTTGCTTTGACAAAAACTTATAACCTGTCAGAAATGTTCATTGCTGATTCCTAAATGTATGTATCAGATTCCAGCAAAAGAAGGCTGGCTTTAAAATATTTTATTTTTGAGAGTTATTTCATAAGCAAATATAACTGAAATAGGAATTCATAGTAATTTTTAAGGTAGTTTTGATGACTTTCTCATTTTATAAACTTGAATGTTTTTAATGACAAATTAATTTTAAGTTTTTAGATGATGAAAACTCATATTACAATCTCTGGTATAAATATTTTAATTTAAAATCCATGCTATGCACCAGAAAGTGGTCAGACAGTATTTATTTATTGCTAAGGGTGCTCGGTAATTTCTAGACGTCTGTCTGATTTCTTAATGGCGACTAAATCCTGCCTTCTTCCTGTAGACTGCAGGACACTCCCCTTCTTGCTTTTCTGTTTCTCTGTCTCTTCTTGGCTCCTTCTCCTACATCTAAACAGGAAGTCAGAGATGCTCCCGCCTCCAGGAGGCTCCCTCATCACCCCACTCACCTGCTCGGACCCTGGACCCTGTGGGGCTCCCTGCTGCTCCGAGGATGGAGCGAGCCTGGAGGCAGGTCTGGTGGTCCCCTCCCTTCCTCTCCCTGTCCCGCTGCCTCAGCCTCCCTCACCGCCTCTTGGGCCTCTCCCTAGGCCTCCTGCCTTCCACAAGGACTCAACACAAGCTCCTCCCATCATCCGGAAGATTCTTCCCTGCCCTCCTGGCTCAGTCACCTCCCACCGTCCTCCCACCTCTGGTAAGAAATGGTG